CGGAAGACCTGACGTCCCGCCTCGTGCTCGCCCTTGATGAACTCGTTCAGTCCATCCTCTTGCTCCTTGGTGATGACACGTCGCCCGTCGTCGACGCTGGTGGCCTTGCCTCTCCCCTTCCCGTTGGTCTCGTACAACTCCTGCTTGTCATACCAGAGTGTGCGAACCGCCAGGACCTTGTCCGTACCGACCCTCAAGGTCTTTGCGACCTGATAAAGATGGGTCATCCACACAGAGGGAGGGTAGGGAAAAGTTTGAAGAGGGAGGGTGGGAAAAAGTTTGTAAGAATAAAGCGTGTATTACGTTGCAGTGTATTGCGTTGGTGTACAACAGCCGGTATTAAAGGGACGGCAGAGTGTGGATAACCGTACAGCGCACGCGAGGAGAATGGTGGTGCCATGCACATGCATACATTCCTTTACATTCAGCGGTACAAAGCGCTGCTGTAACTGCTGTACTGGTACACTGCTGTACATCTGGCAGCATACCGTTATAAATGCCACTCAAGTATTGTACAGCAGTAATGGGCATCAGCAAAGCAGTGCAAGCAATGTGACCATGGGCCGGCAGCAGTACTGGCATGATGCACAATATGTTGCGTAGGGCTGTATCAAGCACTGCTGTTGCTCGTACAAAAATCTTGGGTGGGATGAATTACATTGACTACGATTGTACAAAAAAATGTGGCACTGCTGTACTGCACACGACATGCGTCTAGTCTATATACTGGTACTTTGTACGCAACAGCCATGTTTCTTGGTTGTCACCTGCTCCTTTGCGTGGTTCTCAGAGCTGCATCCTTTCACCAGGTCGAAGTACAGCATGAGAATCATCCGCGACTGCTGCAGGGTGGTGAGCTCGCCAGTCGTGGGCCTCAGCGATTGCACGGAGTCCTCGACAAACTTCGGCGCGAGAGGGGGAAGCTTGGAAGTCGCCGCTTCAGCAGCCTTGCTGACACGATCCTGCTCTCAACGTTCACGCTGCTGTTGAAGTACGTCCGACCTCGCGATGTCCCGCGCGAGCCTCTCCCGATCCCTGGCCACTGACGCCTTCATGGCCTTCACCTCGTCTTCCTTGGCCGCGAGAGCTGCTTCGGCAGCGGCTGTGGCCGCCTCTCTCTTCTCAATATCATCCAGGACCTTGTTCACAGCCTTTGCATTTCTCGCGGACGCAGCGTTGGCCCCCTTGATCACTTTAGGCGGACGGCCACTGGTGCCGCCTGTCGGTACCCGCCTACCACGCTTGGTCATGGTGGGTGCCGGACTGGCAAGGTGCCTGGCGTGGACGGCGAGTTGCTCTACAAGGGCTGGCTCAAGTTCAATTTTTTTTTTGGCGTTGTACGCGCTATGTCTTCCCGAACCGCAACAAGTATGCCCGCTCGAAAATTCTTGAGTCTGAAGGAGAGCTCTGCAGCTGGGTGGGGTATGAATGTACAGCAGTCCATAATACAAGCAATAGACGCCACATCTAGAGGTGACAACTGGAAGGTCTCTCCAGCAAGGTGACGGGTGCCTGCGGGCGGCGGCAAGTGGCCCACGACCACGTAAAAGGCGCACAGGCGAGGGTCCAAGTCACAACTCCGGGAACGACAAGGCCCGGTCCCTGGATAACAAATTTGAACCTAAACGCTTTATGTGTACACCATAGACAACCCCCACCGGTTTGCGTGCCCCCTTGCACACGTTGAACACTCATCACTCCCTCCACCCTTAAATCGGCGATGTTGGCGAGCAAGGTCAAGAGGGTAGGCGACCACAACACAAGAGGGCGATGTCTTAACATCGTGTCGGCTTTGCGGCGCAGGTATGACTTGCGATCGCTGTTTTAGGCTGAACGTAACATGTCTGCTCCACTGCTCCGTAGGCATGCTGCTGCTTCCATGTCGAGATCAGCACTGCTGCTGTACGAGTTGCTCGTTTTTGCCTGCGAGTTTCGGCCACTCAAAGTGGGAGGTCTGTTACTGACCTATGAGCGTGGATTGGCGGGGCATATTGGGACGTTGATAGTGAAGTGCCACCGGACTGATGCTGTGCATATCAGGTACATTTGGCTATATCTGCATCAGGCATATTTGAATTTTATTATCGAGATTCTTCCAACACAGGAGCATGACTGCTGTATAATAGCCAAACCAGAAGCAACGACGATACCCAGTTCGAGTGCTTACCAAAAACATTTCTTTGGTCAATCAAGGTCGTGGGTCAGATCCCGCATCGCCGCCAGGCTGGTGAGTAAACAAAGAGCGAGTGAGCAACTCTACACGATGACGACGACGATATGATGCTCGTTTGTTCCCGCCGCTGCCGCCGTCACCGTCCTTCCCGCCTCCGGCGACGCCCGCCTCTGGCGACTTTTGTTTCTTTCAACGGCACGACGCAGGCGAGCCCTGGGCAAGAAGGGCCGTCTGCCTTTCTCGCACGGGCTGCCCAAGGCACCGGCAAGACTGGTGTTCACCATGTCCAACGCGATACCCGTGGGCGAAAGACACGACAGGTAGGCAGTGCGTTAATTCTCACGGATATCAGCCTTCTTTTAGCAGGACAGGATACCCACGACACAGCAGTGGGGGTCCACGAATACGGCGGTGGTGGGGCAGCTGGTAACGATTGGGGCAGCCGCCTTGTTCGTCTATGCCAGCCAGTTTCACCCGCCTTTCATCGGCTACCGTCGCCGGGTTTTCCGATCGCGGGGAGAAGCGTTTTGCTGGCCCAAAATATCCCGAGGGAAATTGGTGCAATTCATGCCCGTAGCGAAACGGCAGCGCCACGGTGTGGCAGGAGCATCTACCTAACCCAGACTAGCACCCTGTCCGTGCCAGGACACATGGTTTTCTGGAGAGAGGAAACACGCTATTGTTCTCTGAGTCGGGTGTAGTTTGTTGGGTTCACCCTCACGGCACACGGTTAGGAGTGGCGGTCGTTCCGCCCGCCTTGCTCTCCCACCCCTTTGTATTCCTTATTGCATCTTCCTGCTCCGCCGCCATATTCTCAATCATTCGCCGCTGTGGGCGTGCCCCGTAAACCGTCTAAGCGCCCTCATGGACTCCGTGGGTGGTTTCTGCGTCTGTTCGCGTCCATGGCATATATTCAATGCCCATTAGCTTGGACTGCGGAGACGGTCTACTTCGCGACCGCTTGATCGAGATGATGAACTTAGCGGCTATCCCGTCTTTGTATCATTTCTCGTCCCCATTATCTCTCTGATTTTTGATCCGTGATTGCATGCTACTTTATTACTCTACGCGGGTGTTCACTGCCTGGCAGCCCCCTCTTCCCCACCCCTCCAAAGCTCCCCGCTTACCGTTTGTCTCGCTGCGGCTGGTATTCCTTTGGCGACAGCCCACGGAACGTCCCGCCACAACGGCATGGTAAACTTCGTTTTCCCGCAACAGTACCCGCGGAACGTTCCGCCACCAGAGCTCGCACTTCGTTCTTGGGCAACAAAAACCGACCCGTTCCATCACTAGAGGTTACATATCGTTTTTCCGTATTTGAAAACCCGCGGAACGTTCCGGCATCACCAGAGTTATTCTCGGGTTCACGGCAGACGGCGAGCACTTGGTGGTGTGCCGCGGCCCGCTGGAGCACCCCCGTCGGCTTGAGCTGCGCAGGGTGAGGCTGCAGCGGCCGGGTTTGTCCGCGCCGGGCGAGGTGAGCAAGCAGGCCTTGGCAGCGTCGGAGGGGTCCATCCATCCCACCACCAAACGCATGTACGGCGAAGTCTACGTCGTGTTGTTGTTGTTGTTGTTGTCTTCACATTAAAAACCATCCCGGTCTCTCTATCCAGTACCTCCTTCTGTCTCAATCTCTCCGTAGTAATCCATCACTTGACTCGGCCAATTTCCGTGGTCACAGGCTAACGTACCTAGAAAAGGTATACCAAAATAAAATGGACCCCAAGGGTCAGCAGAGCGATAAAATACAAGAAAACAAAATATAATCAGAAACAAATAAAATAAAATAAAATAAATAATTAGACTAGTGGAACGGCCGCACCACCAGCCTGGGGGGGTAGCCTCCCACTACATGGAGGCAGGTGTGATGGTCTCCATTTGATGATTGTTGTTGTTGTTGTTGGAGTTGACTTTTGTGTCTCCACTCGGTACCTTCAAATATCCGTGCTGGTCCATCTGACGATGGAAGCGTTTTTTCCCAGTCTATGGTTAGCGTTGTCATCTTCGCGATGGTCGAACGTATTTTCTGTTTCTGACAGTCTATGGCGATTAGTGCTGTCAACTTCTAGCAGAGGGCCAACTCCATGCTTTCTCCCGTGGTCATGCTGACCTGCTTTTCCGTGCAGGCTCTCTGGTCCCTACCCCTTAGCCTTCGGGCTCGCGGTGATCACTACGCGGAGAACGGCTACGCTTCGTCGGCGGAAGGGGGACAAGGGGGTTACAGCAGCGGGGAAGACATGGAAGAGGAGGACGGAGAAGAAGAGATGCTTCATGGGCCAGGAATGGACGGCATCGGGGACGAGGAGCCTGCTTCCGTGGCGGTGACGGAGAGCTCGGACGGCTTCTTGGTGGTTGCTGTGGTAAGAGTCATTGTGTTTTCTTTTCCGTGGTTCGAGTGTTCGCTCTACTCTGTCTTTGAGCATTGTTGATCATACCCGGCCGTGGATGCCAGACGCGAAAGATGAACACCCCAGGGCAACAAAACTAAGCGCTATGCAGGAACACAAGCTTCCGTGGCGAGGACAGACTGCAGTGCGTCCATTCAGCATTCTCGACGTGTCGCGGGTTGGCCGATGCAACATTGGCGCGGGGCCGATGTCGATCCATGCTGCTTGATGCTGCCAACCCCTCCGCACACACGCACAGGTGTCTCGGGTCGAGATGCAGGAGGACGAGGACAGGGTGTACCACGTTTTCGTCGCACCGGGCCCCTCCTACCTGGCCGCCGTTAACGCCTCTGCGGAAACCCCGTTCGTCGGTGCGGCGTTCTCCTACATCGTGCCGGGGAGTGGCGGGGCTCCGGTGCCATCCATAGCGGCGCATGACGTCGGGGGTGTGGATGGCGCTGCCGGGGCGGGGGAAGAGCGGGTGTACGTGATCGTGCTCAATGCTGTGGACGCCATTCGTGTGGTGGAGGTGGGGCGTGCTTTTGTGTGGTGTTGCGGGTTCGGAGCGCTTGTTCTCCCGAGCAGTATTATAGGTGTAGCTTGTCTCAATAGCACCGCGCGCAAGTGGTTGGAAACAAGCCCCTCATAACCGTATACGACACGAGATAACACCCACAGAGAGGATAGCACACACTTCCAAAAGAGAATCACACCCAGTGGAAATAGCGCTACATGAGTGAACATGAGACCGAAACATACCTTTATTCTCAGGCCAAGAAATACTACGACACAAGAAACCATACGCCCACACATCTAAACGCCCAGTGATATTTGCTTTAGAAGCCAGAACAAGGGCGATTTTTCTTGCGTCACATACGATACCCCAAGTCATGGTGGCGTCTCAGCCGCCACACTTTCCCCGCGCCGCCCTTCTGCCCCGCTACGTTTGCTCGCAAGGTGAGGCTACACACGGAGGGCGCGGGGCAGGCTTCTCCACCTTCACCTTCGCCAGGAGGCGGCAAGTGCCCGGCGCGCGTTCCCGTTGGAGGCCGTAGGTTGTCACCTCTTCCGTTCGACACAACGTTCACGATACGGCCTCCGGAACCCCTTCAAGCAAGTAGCAAATCGCGCGGCGATGGTGCCGGCGGAAGAGCCGGCGGTGGCGGTGGCGATGTTGGCGGAAGTGCCAGCGTTGGCGGTGGCAGTAGCAGCAGCTCTGCTGACTCTCTGTCCCTATGGTGGGCCTGTGGCCGGGACCTCCCGTCGATCCCCCTTGTCGGCACCCACCGGGTGTTCCCCTTCCGTCGGAGAGGGCCTGCGACTAGCCTTCCAGCCGCTACGGCGGAACCAGCACTGGCGGCGACGGCCCGAGGTGCCGGGCAACTGCGGTCAAGGCGAGAGGGCGGAGAAACGGCGGAACCCGCAGCAGAATTACCTTCTGGGGGGAGTTCGATCTCACGGCCGACCGAGGGCGATGCAGACGGGCAAGTGCTGACACGGAGAAGTGGTGGCCGGGTGAGCAGCGACAGCGGCAGCAGCAGCAGCGGTAGCGACCGGGGTTTACCGGCGGGACGCGGGGGCATTGGCAGCGGCGATCGAACAGAAGCGGAACGTGTGGCGGTAGCAGGGGTTGGAGGAGCGGAAGAGGGGCGCCACACCGCAGAACCGGCATCCGCAGCAGCAGCAGCAGCAGCAGCAGCGAGTGCAGATCGAAGTTTGGGAAGGAGGAGACGAGCGTACGCGAGCAGCGACAAGAGCCGGCAGCGCGTGCTCGATCTCGAGGTGTTCATCTCGCAGCTTTTGCTACGGAGAGAGGCGTTTCCCGATTCAAAGACGCCACACCCATCCCGGTCACCACCACTGCCTCCGCCACCGCCTCTAGAGAGCAAGCCAACCGAGGCAAAAACGGTAGCTGCAGCGGCGGTGACGAGCGGCGACGTGGGGGGCGAGAGCGCATATGCCGGCGGTGGAAGCGGGGGGGACGCGTCCCGGGCGGAAGGTGCGGATTCCAACGGCGGTGTTGGCGAGGGCGACGCGGATGGGTTTTCGGCGAATGCCCCCTCTGTCCACGCCACGGACTACCACTGCGTGACGGCCGGCCTAAGGGATGGAGGGCGAGGAGTGAGCAGATCGTGTTGCAAGACTCTACCTTGATGAGTTTTTATAATGTACCACACCAATGCGGCTGCTACGTCAATCTGTTTTATTGTCACGTGTACGGTAGCCGGGCTCTCGTAAGCTGCCAAGGTTAATTCTGGTTTTGACCCGTACATCTTCGCAGACTCTGGTCCCTCCCCCCCCTCCCCCCAGCCCCCTCGAAAATATCGTTAGTGGCAGTGCTGTTGGGTGGAGGTCGTGAGGTCGAACATCCAACGAGATGGTTTTAGAGCGGCGGCATTGACCCAGAGATGCACACATGTAGGTTGTCGAGCTTCTTACTCCAAGCGCGTTTTACTTTCAGAGACGGACGTGGCCCGAGAATTGTTTGGTGACGTTTGGTTGTGGTATGTCTTTGGTTATCCCTGGGCCCCCTATTTCACCTAGAGCTAGTGCCTCTGGAGGTGTGCTTAAAGCGAAAACAAACAACAATCGTTTTTTCGTTTTGAAAAGATAGGAGGAATAGGGTGGGAAGCTTATGAGTATCTCTGTGTGTTCACGACGAGCCTGTTGGCGTCATTGCTGATCGATCTCATTTGGCAAATCGGTTTTGTCAGCATTCGCCAAGGTCTAACCCCGTCGCCTACATCTCATCCTCTCTCCCAATATTCGTCCTGCTCCTCTCCAACGTGTAATAAAGCAGGTGTTGCTCAGCTTGGTCGTCAAAGTGATGTACACCGGGCCCCGCCGCAAGAGAAAAAGGGGGGGGGGAAGGGGCGACGGAAGAGAGGAACGAGGAGGAGCAAAGACGGGGGGAGGAAGTGCCACGGGGACGAGGAACGGCAGTGGTGGCGATGCCGGTGCTGCTGTGGAGGGCCCGTTCCTTGTTAGTTACATCTTGGATCTCGACCTTGAGTGAGTGTTGCTGTTTGTTGGGTTGTTGTTGTTGTTGTTGTTCCTGCTGTTGTTGTCGTTGTTATCCATATTGCTTGGGAAGTTTTTGTGGTATTATAATAGTGGGGGTCAAAGCCGTGATCGTCGTTGTTGTTTCAGTTGCCGTGTTAGCGGCTGTCGGCGTCGTTGGTGATGTCGTATTAAGTTTTAAAATATTTTTTTCTCTATTCGGTATTGGAGATAACCTACTTGTGGCGTGGGGCGTATTTCGAACTACACGCAGTGGGGATAGTTGCCTTTGTGGTGCTGATATTTGCTATGTACGTTGCATCGAAACACGCTCTTCATGTCGAGTCGAGTGTCAAGTAGCGGAGACACTTTCAATTGTGACGTTGATACTTGCCATGCTACGGTGCAATCATTTTCGTGTCGTACCTCCCGGAGGGCCGGAGTCCCTCGCCAAAAATGACTTCACACCTAGGTCTCCACCTTGACGGAGTACGCACGAGGGACCCGTCGAGACGCCATTGATGGTCCCGACGGAGACAACAGGCTGCACTCATACCCACAAACGTATTGCTTCATTAAATCTTGTCCATCAGGTAGTGTTGAGTGTGGTGAACATATACGGATAGGTTCCAAGGCTGGAGGCGAGTTGGCGGTGTCGACCCTTGGATCTTGTTGTACGTCGCACGCATCGCCACGATACCCGAGGTGCTGGGGTCATCTTCCGGTATTTTTTTCACGGTGGTTTAGTTTGAATTTTTGATGTAATCCGGTTCTTGTACAGATAGATGGCCTGTTGCGACGTCTTTTTTGTGATGTCCTTGTTTGCAAAAAGGGACAACGGACCCAATAGACGCTTCTTTATAGTATTATGTTTTATTCTCCTTTGGTCCCCCCCCCTTATTTTTTCAGAAGCGGAGAGGTTGCGGTACTGGGGTCCGGACGAAGTGAAGGCCGCCGTAGATGCGCCTCGATGTGCGAAAAGATGGCTAGGTGCCTCCGCTATCACGACGCCGCCCCCGTTATCGACGATTTCCACGTCGACCGCCCGGGGCGCAGGTGATTCGCGATGAACCAATCAGTATATTGTCTTCGTCTGTGTCCGTGTGCAGGCAGGTAGGTCTGTCTCTGTCTCTGTCTGTCTCTGTCTCTCTTTCTCCGCCTCTCTCTGTCTCTCTTTCTCTCTTTTTGTCGTTGATATGGTCGCATGCCTGGACAAGTGGGTGGATCGCCGTACCCCCCCCCCCCCCCCCCCCCCCCCCCCCCCCCCCCCCCCCCCCCCCCCCCCCCCCCCCCCC